GGGGGGGGGGGGGGGGGGGGGGGGGGGGGGGTCACCGAAGTTGATCTCCTATGGCATTTTGTTTTGAGCAGGTGCTCCGGGTTGAAGTTCCCTCATAAGGTAAAGTGGCATTAGAGTGTCCAAATGGCAGACTTATATATAGGCTGCCAATTCAGCACATTGTGCGGGCTCCATGGTTGCGCTCTCTCCGCTGTCTGAGGGAGACCTGCAGCCTTTTCTTTTTTTTCTTCTTCTTCTTCTTCTTCTGTGGAGATCCGCGCTGACAACAGGCGGCCGGCCACTGTGTGGTCCATTAGGACCCCGTCAGCAACACTGAATCATATATTATGAGCCGTGCGTAAAATGCCCCTTATTACTGTGGAACATTTGAATTAAACTGTAATATGAGATAAATTAAAAATAATTTACTAGAAGGAAATAATTTTCTCTTCTCTTATTTTCTCTCATTTTAATTTCTAAGGTTACATTCTGTTTTTATTTTATTTATTATCATTGTTCAAATAATACAGGTACATCTGTTCAGTTAAAAATAAAATGCATCTTATTTTTTTGCGCCTGAAGCCTCACAAATATTTATTTTATTTTCTTTTCTGATTTGATATCTCCAGCACTCACACTTTTCTTTCTGTCCTGGCATCAACACAAGTTTAACCGCTATGAAAAAAATCCCTACAAAACATTTAGTAAAAATCTTGCTCTAAAAATAATTAATTTTTCTCTGCCTCCAACGTTAAGCTCCAAGAATGTGCGAACTCCTCTTAATGCAATGCAAGGCCAACCTCGGGATCTAATTGTCATACTTAGAAATCTATCCATTGCTCACACGTTATTCTAATTTCTCACATATTTCTTTGATTCTGAGAGACCCCCCCTCCGGTGTTGCCCAGAGGGACTCTTAAGTGTCAGAGAGAGCAGTCGGAGAGACTGAAGATTAAGAGATCTGACGGCTGAGTGAAAGAGGGAGAGATGGAGGGAGTGACTGAACAGAGGAGGTGGAGGAATGCTCTTGAATTTTGACATTTGCGTCTGCCAGTTTGCCATTTATCAGACAACATCACCCTGACATGCAAAAAGAAATATTCACAGTTATAGGAAGCAACATCATGTTTAACCTCTTCAGCAACACTGGGATTTTATTCACCCCGTCTATTATCGCTCTTCCATCTGGCCACCGTGTTTGCACATTCAAGTGTTTCCACTCGTTTATTTTTTATTTCTTTTGAAGATGTCATTCAACCGTCGCTCCACCATGTTAAGCCTGTGGCCGATCCAGTTGAGTCCTAATTATTTGTTGCTGGGCCCTTTGAAAAAGACACCAGCCCCCAAATTGGACGTGTTGTACAAACACAAATTAAACATTTAGCCCTAAGTATTTCTCCCTGGGTCCTAAGTGCATATTAGTCAGCCTATACTTATCTGTGGCCCGACGGCACACCCAAATTGCAGTGTTGCTGCTGAAAAAGAAAGGTTGAGGCCCCCGGAGAATGAGCACTTGAAGCACACTGGCAGATGCCCATAAGTTTCTAAAACCACAATGCAAGCTTAAGTGTGTGTGTGTGTGTGTGTGTTGTATTAATGTGTGCATGTTTATGGATTTCTATGTCTTTTTGTTATTGTCTGTGTAAACAAATCCGTCAAATGTTCCTCTGTGCATTCTCCTTGCATTCTGACAGTGTGTTTTTTGCATGCCAGTGTGTTATAGGTGTGTGTGTGTGTGTGTGTGCAGACTACCAATGTATATGTACTGTATGTTTGCATGTCCTTGTGCACACTGAGGTGTGTTGCATACAAAAGCCTTTGTCTGTGTCTCGTGATGTGTCCTTGTCATGTGTGTCTTTACTGGTTGGCCTTTCTGCCTGCACGTATGTATGTTCATGTATGTTCTTGACTCTGTGTGTGTGTGTGTGTGTGTGTGTGTGTGCACCCTACTGGGTGGGCGTACTGCTCCGCGGATCCCTCCTCTGTTCTCCACCGGCGCATAACCTTGGAAACAGCTTCCTCATTTCCCCCTAGAGCGGAGAATAACGAGGGGCTCTGCGCTCATTCTCCTCTCTCTCAATGGTCGGAGTAACCTTTCCTTTCTGTCGCCGATCCTCCAGCACCTGCTCCCCACCATCCAATTTCAAAACTCAGAATAAGAGCTTACCTGACACACCAGCTCCTAGTGACAACAACATTCCCTCTACACACTCACACACACACACACACACACACACACACACACACACACACACACACACACTCCTCCTTCCTCTTCACTTCCCATCTTAACGTAAGGTATAAGGGCGACATTTTTGTTCGGATGTCCTCGTCACATTTCTCAGCAGCTCGTAAGTCCTATAGAGCAGCTTGAGTTCAAGAAGTTTATCCTCTTCCTCGACCTTTTTCTCTCCCTGACTCTCAATTGCTTTAGGCATCAGGGTGTGTGTCACAACAACAATGGCTATTATGTACCTGCAGAGGGATTGAGTAAGATTTATAAATGTGTGGTTTACATAAGAGCCTTTGACAAATGACTGCTGCAGTGTGAACACAGTCACAAACCTGGCGTCCTGCCTTGAGAGAGAATAACAAGGGGGTGCCTTAAATCCACACTTGACTGAAGCCTTTTCATAGATTGTGATTGTCGGCGACGAACGTCACCAGCAACGTCACCTTGTTATTTTTCCGTTTCCTTGC